ATTATATATATATAATCATAAGTAATATATTTGGAAATAAAATTGTAAAATATAAATTTACTTTCATGTCTTTTGTAAATGTACATGAAAATGTTCATTTTTACCATAAAAAATGGTAATAAGAACTTATCAAAGAGAAAATCGCAACTAGCCTCTGTAATCAGAATGTCAATACCCTCTCGGTACCATATTTATCAAATAATCCCTTTGAAATCTACAAAAAAAGCGTTGAAAAGTAATATTAGAGAAGAAAGAATATTTAAAAATTGCAGATAAAACATCTCCAAGTTTCTAAAGTGTGATCTCGTAAGCCATTGGTACTCCCCAACTAGTACAAGTCAATATCCAATTATAAGAATAAATTGAATAAGAAAAAATTGTACTACATATTTCAGATCATCCATAAATTGAAAGAAAGATTAACATACAAATTCCTACGAATTTACATATCTTACATCTAAACTTCAATTTTTATATACACGTCACCTTACCTATGCATGAAAAAGTGTATTTCACGTTTTAAAAGTTAAAAAGGTGGTATTTTTTGTGTGATTAGAAAGATTTGGATGGTATAAATGCAAAAAAATAAAGATTGGGTGCGTCATATCTAAATAAAAAGGAATTGGGTGGCATACATGTTAATGCCTCAAATAGAAAATACAAACATTACTTCTCCGATCAAGAAAACTTTTGGATCAGCAGTCATCTCCTCGTCAAAACTCAATGTTCAACGCATCACAGACAACATCTGCAATAATTGAATTTGTTAAGTGATGAAGTTGCCAGCCAAACCTATATAATAAAGGAATGGTTCATAGGGTTCTTCAAGAGATAAGTATGCATATTTCGCTCAGTCGTATATATTCTGGTCAAAGCGGCTATAAGCTACAATGTAAGACAGCAAGAGTACAAATTCGCTTTCAAATTTACAAAGCTGATAGTTCTAATGTTCATTCTCCCTTCTAAAAATGAAGTTTTTATCACATTTCCGTAAATGAATAATATCACTTTTACTGGAAGTATTTGGCTTTACTCATTTTAAACTAATCATTACAAACAAGTTTAGAATGTATGTACTCATGTTTGAATATAGAAGATAGCAAAAATGGGAAAAAAATTAATGAGTTGAAGATTAGTGAAATGTTGAACATAAAATACCTGTACTGGTCATGTTAACTGCTACAAAAACAAAGCTTGAACTTAAAAATGTCATTAAGGTAACATTTAAACATCAACTTACAGGAATTTTGGTGATTTACACATCAACTTCAGCTGTTAAACTTGAAAACAAAAATAAAAACTGAAGTTAAGAAAATGTATTCTAAAATTTGTTCCCTACTGAAAAAATTTTAATAATAATGACAAAAATCAAAATTTGATAATAGTAACATAGAAACATATCGGTTTTAGAAAAGTAACATTCTTAGCTGAAGCAATGAAGTCTCCACAGAGGGCCATCCTACTTGTGAAGCTTAATATGATCATATCGATAACAGAAACAAAAGCTGAACTTTTTTATATTGCTTCTTAAAGAAAAAAGGAGAAGACTTTAAGTGAAATACATTAAAGATACAAAATCAGAATTCAATACAAAAGTTCTCAAAAGTTATGAAGTAGCATGATTATGATTTAATCATACACCACAAAGTTATAAATTCAATGATAAGTATAGATTTAAACCAAAAAAAATTAAAAATACTAATTATTCGAGCATAGCTAAATATCATCCCCCAAATTTGCATCCTCAAATATTGCATGTCTAAAAGTTGCATTGTCATATGTTTTGAAGTCTTCAAAATTAAGAATTTCTTTTTCAGCTCCAAGATCACCACAATTATCTTCAGCTATAATCAAATAGACAAAATAAATATTTTTTTTACCCAAATTATATATTTAAATATATATAAAAACTTACAGTGAATTTCAATATTACATATTATACTAGACTCTTCAATTGTTGGGATTATACCCTCCTCATATATTTCTTTTTCTAAATCAACATAAATAAGTTCAGGTGTTGGTTCATCGCCAACTATCCAAAAATCTATATTCTTAATGCATGTGTAGTCCCGCAGATCATAACTTCTTTTTTATACGTGTAAACTGCCTAAGTAAGTGAGAATTATTTAATCATATAATATCATTATGGGCTTTATAGCTATTAAATTGAAATATTAAATATAGATAAAAAATATACATATTTCTCAAATTAAAACTGTGTCGAACATAAATAAGATCATTTAGACTTTGACGCTCAAAATTGTGAATCTGCTAAAAAATGCTGCAATTTCTTTCGCATACAGATGAAGACATGTCTGATTGAGAATACGAATAGACAATTTTTGTAGGTTCTGAAAGGCAAGAGCCAAACATCTTCCACCATTCGTCTGCATAATATAAAATTATAAACTCATGATTAATGTAAAGAATATGCAAATATATTATAATTGTGCTACAATTGTTTGTGAAAAAAATATCAGGCTGCTTTTCCTTAGACATAGTGAGAGCAATTGTTCATCCAAAACTTTTTAAATTATCACGATATAATCTAATCTCATTCATTGAAAGTTTTGATTTACTACATATGTCTTTATTTTCAATCATCCCAACCAGACCTTGCATGAATTCAGGTTTATGACAATAGTCGTTGCTATCATATTGAAAATGTGGGTTTAAGAAATAAGCAGCTGAGTGAATGCCTCATTGAAGCTGAAAATCCCATCCCATTTTAACAATAGCGGTATATGGCTTATACAAAAATTTATTATTCTTGAACATACATTTAATTACTTTTTTTTTTGCTTTGTATATTCCATCATACAGAAAACTAAGTGAGGGTTTCTCATCAGAGTCAACCACCCGTAGTAATCTTACTAAAGGTCCCGACAGTTTTGTTATTATTAAGCAGTCATTCAAAAACATACAATCCAACATGATAGAAATTGCATCATTCCCTTTAATAGTCTTTGACAAATTTGAATCAATGTAAAAATAGCTCTGAATCAATGTAATGTTTGCTAGTAACAAGCACTTGTAGGTCCTCTTTATGATCGCAGGCACTTCTCATAGTGATAAAAGTAGTTGCAATGTGAGTTGCTCTCATGCATAGTATCTCTTTCCAGTCCTGTCTTTTTTGCATCCATGATAATAAAAAAAACATGATTGTGAACGAATATTATCACCTTCGAAGCATTCTTAGCAAGTTCATTAACCAAAGGCATGTGACCAATATCTTTTAAAATATGATTCAAACAATGTGCAACACAAGGTGACCAAAATATATTTTCATATTTCTCATGCAACAATTCTTCAGATTTATTATAATTTGCAGCAATATTAGTCACCAGAAGAATTATATTTTCAACACCAACCCATTCAACAACTTCCGTAAATAAGCCACACAAAGTGTTTGCATCCTTTTTTAATATCAGAAGCATCAACGAATTTTATAAATGATACATCACGTGGACAATAAACTAGAAAATTGATCAATGTTCTGCTTTTGTTATCTGTCCATCCATCAACCATTAATGTAAATTGCATTTCTTTTGCAACATTGTCTGAAAGACTCAATAAGAAGTTTGCACTCATCTTTAGAATCTCTCATTAAATTTACCCTCATTCTATAAAAAGAAGAAAGTTGATGTCTATGTTCAATAGCAGTAATTGCATCAATAGCTTTCTGTGCAAATAACATATTCACTACATTAAAAGGTATGCAACAATCAAAAAACCATCTTGCAATTGTCATATTATCATGATGTATAGCATATTTTGATGCTAATACCCTTTCAATGATGGTTGTGATCTTGATTTTGTTCTAGGAGCAAAATAATTGTCCACTTCATCAATCTTTCTTTTTCTCTTATCAAGTTTTTTATGATAAGAAGTTTAATTTTGTGATTGGGAAAGTGAGAAAATTCTTTACCTTCTTCATCATATATTTATATATTTTCTATATTAATTTTGTGATTGGGAAAGTGAGAAAATTCTTTCATAGTTGCTACCTTCTTCATCATATATTTATATATTTTCTATATCTTTTCTTTCTTGCTTCTATTAAGCTATCTCTTTTAAATTCTCTTGCATTTAATACCGAACATCGTATGATATATTTTTTCAAGCTGCGATATTTCTTTTAACTCCAGCAATGTCTTGTTTCATTCTATTAATACCTTAATCTTTGTAGATAATTCCACAATACAAACACTTAAATTGTTTTTTTTTTTTCCATTCGAACCTTTAATTTCAATAAAATAATTCCAAGCAATATCTAATTGCTCACGAACACCATGTGTTGAAATCAAAGGTTGTATTTCAGATTGTTCTATTCTAACAAAGATAACCAAAATATTAAAAATGAATAATATAAAATATTCTTGATGATAAACCATAGCATTCAAGAAGTTTGTAATTATTCATTTTTTAAATGACAATTTTGAGTAATATAACTGTAAAAATCAAAGTTTACCATAACAGGAACCAAGGTAAGAATGTCTTATACTGGCTCATGCTGATAATTCTTCACTTGCAATAATTCATTTAAATAATTCCCACCATCACCACTGTTTTTCATTTTGGCAATCCATGCTTGTTTATTCTCAAATCAAACTCAAACTATATACATGACCAATCATTGCCAGAAATCGACATATGCAATGTCTCCACTAAGCAATAAGATGAAAATCTCTTGGGATAGAACTACAATATATATAAATATATAATTCAATGATATAAGTCATATAACTGCAAACAAGAAGTTAATTAAGCAGAAAATTTTTCAAACTTGTATATAAATGTCACTTTATTATTATGACTGCCAAACTCAAGCTAACATCAGTTAAATTAGCACCAAAACATATGAGACAAATCACATATAATGCCCATCCTTGCTTCATTCATTAGATTATAAATTCATAATAGCTCTTGCTTGAATTAGATGAGAGTTTACCGAAACAAATAGTTTCATAAAAAGAACATCTCTTGTTCTCTTAGGGAACGTCATTACATCTATGATTAAATGGAATCATGACTTAAGGGACATAATCTCTTGCAATATTTCATTTAAATAATTCCTAACATCACCTTTTTTTTTAACAATGTCATATAACTACAAACTAGAAGTTAATTGAGCTGAAAACCTTTAAAACTTGTATAAAAATGTCATTATGTTACTATGACTTCCAAACTCAAACTAACATAAATAGTCAAATTTGTGTCGAAACACACATGAGACAAATCACATAGAATGTTCATTCTTGTTTCACTCATTAGATTATAATAGCTCTTGCTTGAATCAGAAGAGAGTTTACCCAAACAAGTAGCTTCATAAAAAGAATTTCTCTTGTTCTCTTAGGTCACATCATTACATATATCATATATGATTAGATGAACTGACGAACAAGAAATTAGAAAAATAAGAAGATTAAATAAAGCATAAAACTAATTTACTAATTTGTTTATTGCAGCACATAGGAATATAGAATATATGCTTTTGACAAGTGTAGACCCTAGATCTTCAATAAGCTGCTTACATTATCACAAATGGTTTCTTAAACCAATGTATGGAAAACATTGACCTACATTCTTTCAAAAAGTGTCAAAATGATTAAATGACAAGATTAAAATCTAACATAATCCAAAATTGTTTTATCTTCTTTTTTATTGTCAATGCCAGACTTAATTAATCATGACACCTGACGGATTCAACTCTAATCTGCTGGTCCTTAAGCTCTGATTTAGGTAATGCCTCCTGACCTAATTTTGTTCGGCTGCCGACGATTTTCAGAAATTTCGGGATGGGAATTTGGGTGGAAAGACAATGCTAATTGATTTTAAAAAAAGAAAAACTACCTATATTGTATGGAGATCTAGGGATGTTAAAGAGCAAAAATGCAGGAGGAAGAAGGGGGAAAATTTACCATATACCTTCGCAAATGGTTTTTGGAAGGAATAGAATTGTAGAAATGCCGAATAGGAGAGTTTCGGGACCCTATCGTTCGTCGATCACCCCTCAATGCTCATTGTTCTCCCTTTAGTGCTCGCCATTCGCCCTCTTTTGTCATTCGAGAGATGGAGACGGGAGGGAGGGAGACACACACAAAGGCTCCTAGGAAGGTTCGCTCGGATGCCCTAAGCCTTCAACGCGATTTTTTTTTAACCGTGAATCGCAATCGGTTCGACGGTTATCCGGTTCAATGGCAAATCAGATTGATCACGGTTTTTTTTTCCGGTGGTTCAATTTAGAGGTATAAACGGACCGAACACGAACGAACAAAGCTTGTATTCTTGTTTGGTTCATTTGAAATTTAATTTGTTTGAAATAAGCTCGTGTTCGAAATTGTTCGTGAAGTCACTGCTCGTAAAGACGAGCTGTTCGAGAACAACGAGCCAGTTTGATATCTCTATCATTAATATATATAATAATATATTATATTAATTATATAAAATATATTATATAAATATATAATATCTATATTAGAATATTACTAATATAGTATATTAATATATTATTATTATTTATTTATTATATATTATAATTTATAAAATTTAATTTTTTAAAATATCATAAATTTTTATATATTCGTTCGTGTTTGGTTCGTTTAACTAACCCGAATGAAAAAAATTCTTATTTTGTATTTCGAATAATAACGATTTGAACACGAACGAACGCATCATTATTCGTGTTTGGTTCGTTTAACTAACCGAACGAAAAAAATTTGTTCACACTCCTCTCGTTTACTCATCGCACGAATCTAACACAAACTCATTGACGAACCGAATATGAACTATTCACAAACAATGAGTTTTGTTAACAACCCTAGTTCAATTTGCCAATAGGACTAACAAAGGGGCTGATTCGACACACTACACAGTTTTTAATATTGATATATCATTTGAATTTATATGAATACCATTCAAATTATTAATATAAAATTTAAAATATCCCCACCAATAATTCCTTATAATAAAAATATATCTTTTATAGATAGGTTTATGACCCAAAGTCTTGTAAATGTAAATATATAAATGCACGTAAATTTCTCAATTAAGTAACGGTCTAATCTAATCCTAACATTTGTTTGTCTGCACCGTCCACGTGACATATAGAGCAATAAAAGAGCCAGTTCTATGCGGGACCCAACATTGCACCATTAGCCGGGTCCACTTCTCCCATTAAGGCACGAAAATATTAATGGTGTGTTTGTGACAGTTTGTGCGTTTCTGGATAAACAGTTTATCCTGAAATACAGCCCAAGAGTCGACCGTAGTTCGACCCGCGATCTGCCTTTAGTGTAAAAATGAAACCATGTTTTCAGATAAACAGTCAAAATATGCACTCTAAATGGTACCGTGACATTTTTAAAAATACCTCCATATTTATAAACTCTCCCAAACGGACCCTAATTGTGATGAGCGCATCTTTAACCGATAAAGAGAAAAGTGTAATGAGGAAAGTGTGGGGCCCTAATTAGTGACAGTGGATGGCCCATTAATGAGTGAAAAGTTGACTGATTTGCGACTCGCACTTTGGAAAGAAGCAAAGCATTGAGCGGCAGCAATGAATAAAACGTGAAGAATTTGTATTGTGCTCATACAATCACATGACAATTTTGAATATGTTAATCTTATATATATATATATATAGTTTG